AGCAGTTCCTGACCGTGTTGAGCAGGATTCGCTGTCGGTGTCGCTGCGGGCGTTGGCCATTTGAGACGGAAGGCCGCCTGTCCAACATTCACCGCTGTTGGTTTTGGACAGCATTTGTTGTTGGGCATCGTCCCCATCTTCCCGCACCCATCTCGGGCGTCCACAGCTGCCCCTTCCACATGGGCTCGCGCTGCGAAGCAACAAGTTACCTCAGCAAAGCACCCGAATACCAGCAAAGCACCAAAGGCATTCTCAAGGATCCTCAGGAGAGATGCCGCCAGAACAGTGGTTCAAACACGGCCATGTGCACTTTAGTGTCGGAGGTGAGGGGGTGAGATCGAAGTGGAACGGAGAGCCCCCCTGCCGGGAAATCGGTTTCGGTTTCGTGTTCGTGCGTGCCGTGCGTGCGGGCGAGGCGAAGCTGCGTGGGCGGGCGAGAAGAAAGCCCCCTCCTGCTGAGGCGCGGCCGGACCAAATGTTTCCTTTCCGGGGGCCGGTGGGGCGCGGTGTCCCGCCGGTGTCCCGCCTCCGGCTGAGGCGCGGCCGGACCAAATGTTTCTTTTCCGGGGGCCGGTGGGGCGCGGTGTCCCGCCTGTGTCCCGCCAGTGCCCCGTCGGTGTCCCGATGATGATGATGATGATGATGATGATGATGATGATGATGATGATGATGATGATGATGATGATGATGATGATGATGATGATGATGATGATGATGATGATGATGCTGATGACGATAATAATGGTGATGATGATGATGATGATGATGATGATGATGCCGATGAGTGTGGTGATTATAATGATGGTGATGGTAGTGATGATGATGATGATGATGATGATGGTGCCCCCATGATGATTATGACGATGATGATGACGATGATTGTGATGATGTTGACGATGTTGGTGATGATGGTGATGATGATGGCCATGGTGGTGATGAAGATGGTGTCCCGATGATGATGACGTTGATGATGCTGATGTTGCTGATGATGATGGTGTCCCGATGATGATGATGTTGATTATCCTCCTGATGTTCATGGTGATGATGAGATGATGAGATGGTGATGATCATGATGATGATGGTGTCCCGATGGTCATGTTGATGATGATGATGATGTCGATGACTTTGATGATGATGATGGTGATGATGAGGATGACGTTGATTGTGATATCGATTGTGATATCGATAGTTAGATCGATATTGAGACTGAATGTGGGATCGAGTGTGAGATCGATAGTGAGATCGATTGTGAGATCGATTGTGAGATCGATAGTCAGATCGATTGTGAGATTCATCGAATGAAATAGATCGAGTGAGATCGATTGTGAGATCGATCGAGTGAGATCGATCGAGCGAGACCGATAGTGATATCGATAGTGAGACCGATCGAGTGAGACGTTGGTTCCCCCCCCCCGAAACTCCTTATCACCCGAAGGGTGGTCGTATAGGTATCTTTGTGTCAGTGATCGTGGCCGTTTAGACCAAGTATGTCGCTGGTATGGAGGCGAGAGCACGACTCAAATTCATTGCGAGGAAGTCTGGGGCGGGCCGGGCGGTCTCAGGCTCCCCAGCCCCCTTGGGTTGTGGAAGTCGGTCAACGGAGAGGAGGCATGTTTCCAAATCATTGCCAGATGTCTACGTAAAGCTTGCTTCAGACATGTCCTAAACATACATACATAAAAAAACAGGTTTAAAACATGTCGCGAACATTCCTACACACATGTTAAGCACATGTTCAATTCGACTGAGAGGATTGTTAGAGTGTCCATTGCCCATGGCAGCCACAAACCGTGCTGTGGGACTCTTCTGTGGTCTCGTGCTACAGCGACCAGAACCCTTTTGAGAGAACCGCGAGAAAGGGGAAAGGCTACCCACACCGCTGCCCCTCCCACAGCTGCTCGCGTCGACAAAGCTCAGGACGGGAGGCTTCTGCTCGTTTTCGGCCTCCTCGCCCGGCCGTGGGACCGGGGGACCGTCAACAAAACAATCCGGGATTTCGGGCCCCCTCGTTGACACGGTCAAGACATCGCATGTTTGCAACATGCGCCTCGAAATCCAGGTCATGCCGCTCCCCAGGGCCCGTGGATCAGCGGCATCGGCCTCTTCTTGATCCCCCAGGTGCCACCTCCACCACCGCTGGCCGCGAAAGAGCCCGAGGACGAGGACGAGGATCGCCGGCGGGGCAGATAGTGCCCCTCGGAACATCTCGCTGGCCGTCCACCACGGCCGCCCCACACCTTGACCAGCAGGGATCTAGAGCCACGAGCTCAGACCCTCTCGAGCTATGATGAAAATCAAGACGGCTGGTTTTTGTAAGTTTTCGGGCTCTGGGGGCCCTCGACGGGCCCCAGGACGGTCAAAAAGCGACCCAGGATGAAGAGCTCGTTCCGGGGAGGGGCTCGAGACCCGTGGGGGTCGACGCTGTGAACAGATCATGACGTCGGGGTTCTGGGGGGCTGGGGGTGGTCAGGGTTAGCTCCTGGTTCGTGCCTCGGAGTTTCAAACCAGAGTTACGGTGCCCGGACAAAAAGTGTCCACGCCGACGGCGCGAATATAGTCAGGCATGATGGCAACGACAATTGCAATGTACATGTGGCTCGCCCCCCTCAACCCCAAACCCAAAGTTGAAGTGTCCACATTTTGTCCCCCGCGCGTTGCCTCGCACCCAATCCTGTTAATTTTGGGTTGGGGGGGGCGGGGGCTATGGATAATTGTTCGACGCAGTTCGATGTCGTATCATATTGGCGCGATGGATGGACGTCCACCCACCAAAACTCCATAACAAACGCTTTCTGGCCATACCGCTCAGGAAAGGATGTTCGACACGAAGATGTTGTGCTAGATGTTAGGGTTGAGACCTGCGCCCCCAACGGAGCCCCAGTATTGTGCCCTCGTGCGTGCCACCTGAACCCCCCCTCCGGCCCGAGGACGGCGAGGAGGAGGAGGAGCAGGACGACGAGGAGGAGGAGGCGGCCACCGAGACCGGGAGCACGCCCCCCTCCGACGACGAGGGGCCCGACGCCGCGCTGGAGGGGCCCGACGACGACGGGCCCGAGGACGAGGTGGCCGCAAGGACCTGGGCCCGGGGCTCGGAAGAGGAACGTGCACAAGGCCGGCGAATGTCTGGGAGCCAGCGATTTCATGTACCGCCGCCCTCCCTGAAGGTAGATGAACCATTCGTCGGAGGGCGTCTCTGTGTGTATGTCTACGTATGTGGATGTGTTCGTGGTGTAAATGTGGATAAGAGCGAGGAGGCGGCGGGGTCGTCGGCACTCTGCGAGGCTCTGAAGCGGCCCGCCGCAGGCGCCAATTTATTTACAGGTTGCACAATGAGCCCGCTACAGGCGCCGATTTTCCCTCGTCATGGCAACGCGGGTGGGTCGCGGGTGGGTCGCAGGTGAGTTGCGAGCGAGTCGCGGGTGTGTCGCGGGTTGGGTCGCGGGTGGGTCGTGGGTGGGTCGCAAGAACAACACAATGCAACAACACAACGACAATCATTTTAATTTTGATCGCTCTTAATTGTTTGCGTACCACTCAACACTCGGGGGAGCGTAAGACCCGGGTTTGCCAGGATTCGGGTTCGCCATCGTTTTTTGACGACCGCGCCTCGGATTTTGACGAGGAGGAGTTTCGTGGGATGTCTGCAGCGGGAGGCCTCGTCAAAATGCAGGCTCGGCCTCGTCATTTTTTGACGACTTCGTCGGGGATTTCCGAGTCCCCTGTGCCCAGGTCTTACGCCCCCCTGAAACACGTATATCACAAACACTCGATACCCGTCCTCCTCAGATTCGATCGTGTTCCCTTGGGGGTATCTATCTTTCTTACCTGCAATGTGTGTTTCGTGCAGCCCATCAGGCAGTGGAAGAGAGCACGGACGGAAGGAAGGGACAAGGGGGAGGGAGGAGGATTGAGTACGAGAGAGAGAAGCAGGAGGGGGGCTAGGAGCAGAAAGCACGTGGCAGAACCAGAAGAGCAGACTGGGCGGGTAGACCATAACGGGCGGGTCGGGAAGGCGGGCCCAGGCCGCCAGGTCGAGCAGGCGGGTTGTTGAAGCGTGCGTCCTGCATGGATCGCAAGGAAGTCTTGAGCGATAGCGCGATTCCAAAGTAAATCGTGCGGAAATCCATAGCGAGAGCGCGATTCCTGGGTGTCGGCTAGGAGCAGAAAACACGTGGCAGAACCAGACGGGCAGATCAGATCGGGCTGGTAGACCCTAACGGCCGCGCGGGGAAGGCGGGCCCAGGTGACCAGGTCGAGCAGGCGGGTTGTTGAAGCTTTCATCTCGCATGCGTCGCAAGGAAGTCTAGAGCGACAGCGCGGTGCCCAAACACATTTCGAGGAAGCCTACAGCGAGAGCGTGATTCCTGAGTGTCGAGGGCTCGGTATTTGAATACACTGCGAGGAAGTCCCACGCGAGAGTCCGATTCCTGCGCAAGTTGTGAGGATGCCCCACGCAAGAGCGCCATTTTGGAGCACACTTGTGCTTTCATAAGAAATTGTGAGGGTGTCTCGAGCGAAGCGCTGGTTTCAGCGATGCGAGGAAGAATCGTCAGGTGTGGGATCATTTGCCTGTTCTTGCCCGGTGGTGTGCATGTCTCAGGCGGTTTGCCTTCAGTGGTTACGGCGTCGGTGTGTCCAAGGCAGCTTGTGAGGATGTCTCGGGCGAGGCGTCAGCTCTAGCTGATCAGCGGGTAGGCGCCAGCCAACCCTCTTGCTTTTCCCGCGGGCCCCGCGCGGCACGACCAGGGGGCGTGCCGACTTTCCTGAGCAAGGTGCCCACGCCCGTGGGCCGACACGGGTTGCACGGGGAGGCTGGAGGGGCTGCGCGTTCAACGGCGTTCCAGGCGGCCAGATCGCGGGCATGCATAGTCTTGGCATCGCTCGGCCGTGTGCATGGTTTGTCGGCGAGGGCCGTCGGGGAGCAGCGTGGATCATTTGGCGAAAGATCCACGCACGGAGCTGAAACATGGACGGGGAATGGGCGTCCGAGCGACAGTAAGTAGTGCGAGGCTCTCGGCTTTGCACTCCTGGCGCCTGTCCATTCCGAGCCCCATGGTCACTTCGATATAGGGAGGAGGACGGCCGCCAGGATGGAGGAGGGAGGACGGACGAGGAAGGAGGAGGACGCTTGAAGAGCGACAAGGGAAGACGGAGGATTGCAAAAAACGAAGGATTGCAATCCTTGAACGAAGGATTGCAAAAAACCTTGTTTTTTTGCAATCCTTCGGTTTTTTTGTTTGCAATCCTTCGGTTTTTTTTTGCAATCCTTGTTTTTTTTTTTTGCAATCCTTCGGTTTTTTTGCAATCCTTCGTTGAAGAGAAGGGAGGGGGGTACGACGAGCAGCAAGAGAAAGGAGAGGGGAGGGGGCCTGCCTACCGCCTGTCTGCCCGCGAGTTGTCGTCATCGCCGTGCTTCACCGTAGCCGTCGTCGTCGTCGTCGTCGTCGTCGTCGTCGTCGTCGTCGTCGTCGTCGTCGCCTGCCTACCGCCTGTCTGTCCGTGAGTTATCGTCATCGCCGTGCTTCACCGTAGCCGTCGTCGTCGTCGTCGTCGTCGCAATCCTCGTCCTTTCGGGCTGGTTTTTTTAATTCAGAAAACGACCGGTCTTTGAATTCAAAGAACCGCTCTGGTTTTGGAATTGAGAAGAAAAAACCGTTCTCGCACCCGGACGCCCTCGGCCAGACGTTCACAGCTGGACGCGCCAGGATGTGGCACGCACCGTGCAGGCCTCCCCGCGCCGAGTCTGTCTGCAGTGGTGTCTCTGCCCCTGGCCTGGCGAGAGGCGCCGCGTGCAGGCACGGGGGGGGCACGAGGAGGGGAGCCCTCGGGAGCTCTTCGGGACATCGCCGCCTCGACACGCCCGCTCTAAAAGGCAACACGTACCGTGCTTACAACGTCCGTGCCAGTACGCTGCGTGTTGGCCCAGCGCATGGGTCCACGTCCTTGCGAACGCATCGCGTGCTGGGCTCCGTATGAATGCGCTGCGTGTTGCATGTTGCGTATCGGGGCAGCTAAGCTCAGGAACCCTCAGGGATCCTCAGGAATCCTCAGGTGTCCGTCTGAATTTACATGTTTTCTTATGAAGCTGTAGGAACCTGGGGGAATCCAGATGCAACCTCGGGAAACCGGAGGAATCTCAAGGAAGCCTGGAGACTTTGTAGATGTCCTTAGGGAACCCGAGGAATGCGAACCTATCGTTCGAAGTTCAGAAGAATTCTTGGGGTCATTCATGTACCCAGTGGAGTTCTCAGAAATCCTCAGGACTCCAACTTAACTTTTCGTAATCCGCAGGACCCCTCAGGAATCCGGAGGGATCCTCACGAATCCTTGGGGACCTGGAGGGATCCTCACGCGCCCCTGGGATTCCCTTGGGTCCCAGAGGAACCTCCAAAGCACGTACGAATCCCAATGGTTCCTACGGGCTCCTGAGGTTGCTCTAGGCTCCTAACGATACCTGAGGATTCCGAAACACATCCCTGAAGGGATCCCGTTGGACTCTCCTAAGGGATCCAACAAAATCCTTATGATTCCTATGGGCTCCTGGGGGATCCGACGGAATCCTGGAGTCCAACGGTTTTCTTCTGATTCCGTGAACTTCGTTGGAGATCCACGTCCGCGCAGGGACCGGGAACATTGGGACACAGGAGTCTACAGGAATCCGCAGGAGGTTAAAGACATTTGTTAAGTTCTATAGGAAACGTCAGGACAATCATCTGCTGAACAGCCCCCCAGGCAACTCGTTCTCAGACGAGTCTGCTTTCGACAGGCCCCAACGTGCCAAGATCATTCTGCTCGCTTGCCTTCTCACCCTCACTCTCACCCTCACGTCTTCTTCTCCTCCTGCGTATACCGCCTGCCTGGATGCAGCCTGGGCGCCTCTGGCCATATTTTATTATTACAAGCAGTCTTGTTCATGCCAGATGGCCCGGAATCATGGTATAATATATGTTAAGAAGGTTGTTTTTGTTCAGGTGTTTGCGAATCTGTCTGCCTTCGCCCACAGACATCTGACGAATCGGCAACACACGTTTGTTACAGTGTTTGTTCACCCTGTGGCATGGGGTACATGTTGTTTACAATGTTTCTCTGCGTCTGGCATGACAAGAGGTGCAGCGTGCAGAGAAGAGAGCGGGATCATATGATGATGATGATGATGATGATGATGATGATGATGATGATGATGATGATGATGATGATGATGATGATGATGATGATGATGATGATGATGATGATGATGATGATGATGATAATGAGGAGGATGACGAGGAGGAGGAGGAGGAGGAGGAGGAGCGAGCAGGAAGAGAAACACCAGGAAAAGGAGGATGATCCAAGAGGATTGATTTTGTTGGTCCTTCGGTGGCCTCCGACCAGGAACACGGCAGTTGCAGACAATTTGTAGTGCTTTGACTCCCTCACGAATGCAGACATCTTATATAACACACGTCACACCCCGCACTTGCGGATAAGAGTGAGCGGGCGGGTGGGTGGGCCGCAGGGTGGGTCGTGGGGGGATCGCGGCCGGGTCGGGTGAGTCGCGGATGGGTCGTGGGGCGGGTCGTTGGGGGGACGACGACAACAAAGCAGCGCAACCACAACAAGAACCCGCTCAGCGGATATCACATTTTATATAGTCACGCGCCCAGGAACCATGCATGATCGTTCGACCCCCTCCTCACTCAGATGAGTGTGCGTGCATACAGTGAAAAATCCATAGCAAGCACGGGTAACCTTCCCAAGGGCACCCTTGTGTCCTTAGATTTGTTCGGCAGTGCGCCGCCAGAAAAGCTTCAACTGGGGCGTCCAAGGATCGTCCAAGGGTCTCGCGTCCTTGCAGAGCGTCCTTGCTACAGATTTTGATTGATGTCCGGAGGTTACCTTGAACGCGCTTCCCCAAGGACGGAGTCGATGGAAGAGGGGCAGCTGGCGCAGGACAAGGAGGAGGTGGACGGGCCACCCGGCGAGCCGGCGATGGATGCGAGGCGGCATTCGCGCACGCCCGAGGTGCACGCGAGCTCGTCGGAGGACGAGGCCTCGACCGAGGAGGCGCCGGACAGGGCGGGCGCGGGGGCGGCCTGGAAGGCCCAGGCGATGTACGCCGCGAGGATCGCGCTCTGAGTTTGGCATGTCCCTCTGCAGGAGGAAGATTCAAACCTACTCAAAAATAGTTCGGGGACGATTTCTCGACCATCTTCGATTTGTTTTCTGCATGTTTGGACTGTGTTCTACCCTTCCTGCAAAATCCACCTCTAGGAGGACATGCCCGACCTAAATCGACCTATGAAGTGCACGGCGTGGGCTTTCTGCTCGTGGCCTGGCCGGCTCCTCTGAGCGGGAGGCCGCGCGGGGAGGGGGCCTCCCCCCAGCTCGCTCTCGAGCTGCCTCCTGGGGGGGCGGGGCGCGGAGGCCGAGAGAGTGCTTCCGAGTAAGGCGGCCCTTCTCTGGTCCTCCGCCTCCTCCGCCTCCTCCTCCTTCTCCTCCTCCTCCTCCTCCTCCTCGCTGTCCCCGCAGCACCGATTCACAGCCCGCGGAGGGCGCCAACCAGCCTGTCTTTCGGGGGCGGACAGGAGGGGGGTGATGACTAGGGGGAGTGGGGTACCAGGGCAGGGGCCACGATATCCCCCCAAGAATCATGGCGCCTCGCACATGCCGATGGCCATGATTTGCGCCCCCCTCTCTTGGACGTCCTCCCCTTTGGACGCCCGCGAGTCTTCTTCTTCTTCTTCTTCTCCTTCTTCTTTTTCGGGTGCCTGTGCCTTTGCCTTTGGGGTTCGCTGCTGTTCTCGCCCACCACAGCTCTCTCCAACCACAGCTCTGATCGTGTCAGGCGGGAGACGTGGTCTTGGCGTCGCTCGGACGTGTGCATTTCTTCTCGGCGAGAGCCATCGAGGAGCATCATGGCCCATCTTGCGAAGCAACAATAAACGCACGAAGCCGAAACATGAGCGGGGAATGGACGTCCGAGCGATGGCGAGTTGTGCTGTTGGGGAAAGAAAAAGAACAGCACGAACAAACACTTTTAGATACCCGCGCGGACCTGCCAGGTCGGCCCTGGACCCCTTCCTCTTCCCCGCTCCCCTTTGGGAGGCGCTTCTGGCTCCGCCCCGGCGGCGCCCCGCGCGCTGGGGAAGGTGCCCAGCGCCGACCCAAGAAAGCGGCGTGGACCTCCGACAATCTGTGCTCGTCTCCTCTCTTGGCCTTCCGGAGGAGCATCTCGCGGAAGATCCCCAGGGCGAACGTTCGCTTGGACCTCCACGCTGAGGCCCTCGTGGCTGCTGCGACGAGCACGGAGGATCTGGCGCAGATGTACGAGGGTCGCGAGGGTCTGGAAAGCCTATCGTTCCAGTTCCTCGCCCTCGCTCCCCCGCTCTCCCCGTCTCCCCCTTCCCTCTCTCCTCGCCCATCCCCCTGCTCTTACTCCTCCCTGTCCGCTCCCTTCCTCCTCCTTCCCGTCGTCGTCGTCGTCGTCGTCGTCGTCGTTGTCGTCGTCGTTGTCGTCGTCGTCGTCGTTGTCGTCGTCGTCGTCGTCGTCGCCCTCCTCCGCCCCCCCCCCCCTGGGAGTGCGAAAGGCGGCCAGACGCCGCCGCCTCCCCCCCCCCCCGAGGCTGAAGAGTGAACGGGCGACCGGGGGCTGCTGGCAAGGGGCCCTTGAGGGGCTCCCTGGAGCCGCGCAGGCGCACGAACAGTGCGCCTTTCTTCCCCCTCCCCCGCCCCGCCCCGCCCGCAGACGCCCCCCGCCATGAGCTGTTCACAGCGCCGGCTCCCAGGGCCTGCCCCGAGGCTGGCTCGTCCTCCCGAGTCGTTTCCTGGGCGCTCCCGCGGCCCGGCAAGGCGCCCAGGAGGCCGAGAGCAGCGAAGCATTCGTGGGGCGCAATTTTTCTCATGACTCCTTCGGCTTGCCATCGCTCGGACGTGTGCTCTCTTCCTCGGCGAGGGCCATCGAGGAGCCTTTTGGATCATCTTGGGAGCAATCACGCGCACGGGACCGAAACATGCACGCGCAACGGACGTCCGAGCGATTTCAAACACAGAAGCCTTCTAGACGGGGTCGGAGAAGATGGGGTCGGAGGATCTCGCCGCATCGCCGATACATCGCCGATGCATCGGCGATGCATCGGCGATGCATCGGCGACGTCGGCGTGGAGAAAAATGGGCCCCACATCGAGCCGCATCCGCGATGCATCGCCGATGCATCGCCGATGCGGCACGATCCGCCGACCCCATCGACTCCGACACCATGTAGAATTAAGTTGGGCATGTCCTTCTACATGAGGAACATTCAAAACTTATGTTTTGTTTTAAAAGTCTGGGGACGATTTCCAGAGTAGTCTTGGCATGTTTGAGCAGATTCGGGATCCTTTTGATTTTTCCTCCACAATCCGCTGGTAGGGGGGCCATGCCCGACCTAAGTCTAGGAGGCCTCGAACGTAGGGGGATGTGGGCACCGAGCCGCGCCCGCAGGTTGGACGGCCCCCCTCGCTCGCCGCGCTCCTCTTCGATGGGGAGGGGCAGGAGCGGGAGGAGGAGCAGGAGCAGGAGGAGGAGGAGCAGGAGGAGGAGCAGGAGCAGGAGGAGCAGAAGCATGAGCAGGAGGAGGAGCAGGAGGAGGAGGAGGAGGAGGAGGAGCAGGAGCAGGAGCAGGAGCAGGAGGAGGAGGAGAAGGAGGAGGACGAGGAGGCGGAGCAGGAGCAGGAGCAGGAGCAGGAGCAGGGAGGAGGGAGGAGGAGGAGGAGGAGGAGGAGGAGGAGGAGGAGGAGGAGGAGGAGGAGGAGGAGGAGGAGGATAGCCGCGCCCGCAGGTTGGACGGCCTGGATCTGAGCGCACCGTCCCTCCGCGGGCGGCCGGCGGGGGCGCGCCGCAGGCCCCCTCCTCGGCGGCCGCCGGCGTGCCCGCAGCCGCTGTCTCTCTCGGGAGGCGCTCGCCCTCCCCCGCCACGGGGCCCGAGGAGGGCCAGCAGCTGTTAAGTCGGGCGCGTCCCTCCACAGGAGGAACGTTCAGGGGAGCGAAGGATGACATAAGCATGAAAACTCGGAGGCCCGCGCAGATTTCTCGGATCGGCGCTGGACCCCCCTCCCTGGCGCGCGGAGCGCGCCCCAGGGGCGGCGCAGGAGGCGCCGCCAGGGGGCCCAGCGCGGATCCGAGAAATCCTCGCGGACCTCCGAGGTTTTATGTCTACATCATTCTCCGTCCCCATAATATTCAAAAAGAGGTTTTAAAAAGAGTCAGGGGACGAGTTCGTGAGACTTGTTGGTGTATTTTTGTGTATGTTAGTGCTTTTTTGTTTAATCCGCTTGTGGGGGACATGCCCGAGCTAAGGCCAGCAGCCTGGACCTCCTCCGACGCCTTCGGCGGCAAACCATGGGAGCCTTCGTCGGCAGGCTAGGACGAAGACGGGGCTGAACGAGGATAAGTCCTCGTTTGGGCTCCAGTGATCAGCTGAACGAGGAGCGAACCTCGTTTAGCAAAACATGGGAGCCTTCGTCGACGGGGCTAGCGATCGCAATCCTCAGACGGGGCTGGGACGAGGGTACATCCGTTCCAGAGTGTTCCGGAACGCTCTCAGAGCGTTCCGGAGCGCTTTGGGAAGGTCGCGGCGCCCGAGAGATCCTCCAGAGCCGCCGGATCTCATAGATTTTCGATTTATCCTTAATTACCAAATTTTGTCCTCGTCGTGGCTTCGTCTTAAAATACGCTTTGAATCATTCAGATGCGCCGACGTAGCGCCGACTAGGTCTATTAGCTTCGATGAGCGTCGATTTCTCGTCGAGTAGCGTCGGTCATGGTGTTGCCGCAGAAAACGCCTCGAGAGTTTCGTGGCGCGGGCTCCCAGGGTGAAGGACAACGAACACTTGGGCCACACGCGTGTTCCCTGAGATCCGGGGCGCTTTCGCCCGGTTTCGGGCCCCGCGACCGTCACAGATCGATCCAGCTCGACAAATGCTGCAGAAAGATGGGGTCGAGGGCTCTGGTTGTGTTTCTTGGGGGGATGTGGTGTTTTTTTTTCCGCAAGGGGCGCGTGCTCCTTATCATATTGAGGGTGCCGAACGATCTCACACCATCTCTGCGTGCGTGGGTGAAGTGGGATGCCGCGGACAGTTTGGTGTTCCTCTTCAGTGCCCGTTCTGTTTTTCAGTTGAAGTGCTCCTCCATGGGCTCGCACCATATTTTTTATAAGGGGGATTATTGTGCCTCAGACGGTTGCTGCACCCCGAACTACAACAACACCAACAACTATTTATAGACTGTTCGCTCTGATCTGTTCGCGTACCACTCAACATGTATATCCCACACCCTCTGTACCCGCCCTCTTCGTCTTCGATCGCGCACCCCTGGGGGAACATCTCTCTTACCTGCAACATCTGTTTGTTGCAGCCATTAATGGGGGGAAGAGAGGACGGATGGAAGGAAAGGGCAAGGGGCAGGCGGGTTGCTGAAGTGTGCGTCCCGCATGAATCACGAAGGCGCGATTCCCAATTGTGGGGAAATCCACAGCGAGAGCGTGATTCCTGAGTGTCGTGGGCTCGGCGTCTGAATAAATTGCGAGGAAGTCCCACGCGAGAGCGCGATTCCTGCATACATTGAGGAAATCCCGCGCGAGAGCGCGATTTGGGAATAACTTGTGAGGAAGAATCAGGCGGGAGTCGCTGTTGTGGTAAACCGGGGGCCACGGGCACAGTTTGATGACACTGCAGTTTCCCTTGTAAGAAAAACAGAGTGCTTGCCCTGGGAGAAGAACTATTGTACATCTGGAAAATAAAAATTCATCATTCATACATGACAATTCGATAACAATAACAGCAGCAACAACAACAGCAACAACAACAGCATCACCACCACCACCAACCACAACAACAACGACAGCAAACAGTTCCAGGCTGTTCGTTCTTAACTTCCCGCGTGCCATTCAACACTATCATATATCGAAAACCCTCGACCAGCGCCCTCTTCGTCTTCGAACGTGCCCGCTTAAGGGCATATCCTTTTTACGTGCCGTGTATGTCGCGCAACTTCTAACATGACCCCTAATGCAGGGGAGGAGAGGACGGATGGAAGGGAAGGGCACGGGGCAGGCGGGTTGCTAAAGAGTGCGTCGTGAACCATCGATCAGCGCCCTCTTCGTCTTGGATCGTGCCCGCTTACGGGCATATCCTTTTAATGTGCAACGTGTATGTCGTGCAACCCCTAATGCAGGGGAAGAGAGGACGGATGGAAGGACAGGGCAAGGGGCAGGCGGGTTGCTAAAGAATGTGTCCTGAATGAATCGCGAGGAAGGCTCGAGCGATAGCGCGATTTCCAAATACTTCGCGAGGAAATCACAAGGAAGAGCGTGATTCTTGAGTGTCGCGGGCGCGGCGTCTGAATAGATTGCGAGGAAGTCCAACGCGAGAGCGCGAGAAAGTCCCGCGCGAGAGCGCGATTTGTTAATGAATCGAGGAAGTATCGGGCGGGAGCCGTTGATGTTGAATCCCTAGGTCTAGAAAATCGGAGGTTGCGGGGTGAGATCGCAGTGGGACGGAGGCCCCCAACAGGGAAATCACTTCGTTTCGTTCGTGCCGTGCGTGCGGGCGAGGCGAAGCTGCGCGGGCGCGCGAGAGGAATGATCCCGCCGATGCTAGGGCGAAGTCAAGACAAATGTTGCTCCCCCGTCCGTCCGTCCGTCCGTCCGTCCGGCGGTGGCTCGCGGTGTCTCGTGGTGTCCCGTGGTGTCCCGTGGTGCCCCGTTGAGTGAGATCGATAGTGAGAGCGAAAGTGAGATCGATATTGAGATCGATGTGGTGCCCCGAGGTGTCCGTGGTTTCCCGTGGTGTCACGTTGAGTGAGATCGATAGTGAGATCGATAGTGAGATCGACGGGTGTCCCGTGGTGTCCCGTGGTGTCCCGTTGAGTGAGATCGATAGTGAGATCGATAGTGAGATCGATGTGGTGTCCCGAGGTGTCCCGTGGTGTCCCGTGGTGTCCTATGGTGTCCCGTTGAGTGGCCCGTGGTGTCCCGTGGTGTCCCGTTAAGTGAGATCGATAGTGAGATCGGTTGAGTCAGATGTTGGTTCCCCCCCTCTCCCCCCCCCCGCAACCTCCTTATCACCCTGAGGGTGGTCGTATAGGCAATTATTGGTGATCGCTGGAAGCGATTCCGCGCGTTCTCGCCTCGACGCCGGCCGCAATTCCTCTGAAAACGGGGCTCCCGCTCGAGCGCGGACTTGATTGCAAATGCGTGTCCTTGGAGGCCCGGCTACAACGACAACGGCTCCCGCTCGATACTTTCGCACACTTTGCCTTTGCCCCGGGACACCTTGGCCAAACATGCCCCCGAACTCAGGAACGGCGATCTCGCTCGAGACTTCCTAGCAAGTCAATCAAGTTAGCAGAGGCCCAGCAACGACGACAAGGGCTTCTGTTCGATACTTCCTGACGGTTTACTCCGAGAGCCCCTGGCCGGGACCCCCCCCGAATTCAGTAATGGTGCTCTTGCTTGAGATTTGCTTGTTATTCAATCACATTGGTGGAGGCCCAACTATGACCACAAGGGCTTTCATTCGATACTTCCTCAAGATGTATTCCCAGAGGTCCTTACCAGGGAGGCCCCCGAACTTACGAGTGGCGCTTTCGCTCGAGAATTTTTGTAATTTGCTTGGTGGAGGCCCAGTCACGGCGACAAAGGTTTCAGCTCGATACTTCTCAATATGTATTCCGGGAGCCCCAGGCCAGAGGCCCCCAAACCCAGGAACGGCGCTCTCGCTCAAGAGCTCCTCGCACTCACTTCAGTCAGTAGCCGACAAGGAAGATATTCCCCCCAAAAGGGGGTGTGATGGACGACGAAGTGGGTGGGTTTGTGGGTTGGGGTACACAGAATGCACGGCACGCGTGCCAGTAAGATTGAACAGTTTTAAACTGACTGTTGTTTTGATTGTGAACCTAGAGCTCAAAACAAAATTCTCAGACCCAAGACTTTCCCTGATCTATAACAGAGTGCGGGCCCCGGGAAGGGCACTTCAATTGCAAAAGCACAATGTGCCCCGGATGGGTGGGATCAACAAGGACTTTTCCATAAGTGTGAGATTCTTTCTTCAAGAGTCAGAATTCAACAACGGCTCCCGCATAACCTTTCCTCGCAATCTATTCAAGAATGCGCTCTCAGGTGCACACTGTGTTTTTCGATTGAAGTGTCCCCCATCGGGGCTCGCACCCTTTTTTTTCTATCAGGGAAGCTATTCCTGCTCTAGTTGCGCTGTTGGGCCCCGAGCTACAACAGCAACGGCTCCCGCCGGATATTTCCTCACAGAGTATTTCAAAATCGCGCTCTCGCGTGGGACTTCTTCACAAAGCTGGCAGGGATCGCGCTCTCGCGCAGGACTTCTTGAGAATGTATTCACACGCCGCGCCCTCGACACTCAGGAATCACACTCTCGCACTGGCCTCACGATTTATGTGGAAATCGCGCTATCGCTCGAGACCTCCTCGCGAGTCGTGCAGGACTCACGCTTCAGCAACCCGCCTGCTCGACCTGGCCGCCTGGGGCCGCCTTCCCACCCGCCCGTTAGGGTTTGCCCGCCCGATTTGCCCGTCTGTTTCCTCCACGTGCGTTCTGCTCCTAGCCCCTCTCCAACGTGCTCCAACGTTCTCCCTCCGCTTTTCCATCCGTCCTCTCTTCCCCTGTTTTGGAGGCTGCGGTAAATGCACGTGGCAGGTAAGGCAGATAAGCCCCGAGGGGGTACGATTGAAGACGAAATACGTGCTGAGGAACACGCGAGCAGATATGAACGAACAGTATTAAAATAATTGTTGCTGTTGTTGTGGAGAATTCATGCCCGGAGATAAGTATGGTTGATCTCCTCTAACGGTTCCGCTCGCTCTGGCCTCGACGCTGGCTGCAATTCTTATGCAAATGAGGCTCCCGCTCGAGCGCGGGCTTGATTGTAAATGTTTGCCCTTGGAGGCCCGGCTACGACGACAACGGCTCCCGCTCG